GAAGCAAAGTTTCCTTACTTTAGCAAAGGAAAACCAGTCTCCTCTTGGCTTATATCGAAATCCTCCGACATTCTTCTTTACAAATCCTCGTTTTGTACTTCTAATTAGTGACCGTTGTTTTGTTTTGATCTCTCCGCGTGCGTCACTTCTGAGCATGCGCAAAGCTGACCTCATACGTCATCCGCCCGGAACTGCTTCCGTGTACAACAGTGAGCGCAAGCTAGATTCAAGTGATTATTACGTTTTGAATATGGATATTTTTCTTACAAAAACGCATCGATTCGCTACAGGAGGCCTTTGTTCACCCCCCGGAGCCGTGTGAGACACTTTTTTTTGTGGAAGGGTGCTATTTATTTCACGTCTTTTGAACCGAAGGAATGCAACACCCACTGAGTACAACGATAGAGCTTGAAAGATCAAAGACAATTTTTAATATACCTCCGACTGGATTCGTCTGAAAGAAGAAAGTCATATACACCTAGGTTGACTTGAGGGTGAGTAATTTATGGGCTAATTTTCCTTCTTGGGTGAACTAACCCTTTAAAACTAACATAAAAAGAATAAAACTATATAGACATTAAAAATTAATAAAATTGACAAAAACATAATTACTGAAACATTAATATTGAAATTCAAAATATTATTAACACTATAGTACTGTTCTACTATAGTAGTATAATAATAATAAAATAACACTGGCAGGCATGAAATTAAAGTTTTTTTTATTTGTTTTGTTTTTTTCTCAAATATCATAACTCTGTCTTCCAATAAGTTCTCTCTGGTGATGTATGTTGGACTTATCCAATCATTCACTCTTCTTAAACCACATTGAGCAACTAACAAACAATGCATATCAGGTCCCCACCATGCCTTTTTTTTTCTTTTTTTGATAATCCATTTCACTTGCATATGTCACAATACAAAATAAATGATCTGTTGCTACTTCTGTTACGTTACGATTTGAACATACCATCTTCATAGCTCTCTAGGTTTTGTAACAGAGCTTGTTTGTGTGTATGTGTGTGTGTGAGTGTGTTTTTATATCAGTCCTGATAGCCAAATCCTACCCACCCTTAAGTTCTTGTGTATACTGAGCCAAAGAGGCATGTCACTTTGAATCACACAGCAGGCTCTAACCTTCTAAGCTCGTGCTGGCTCTCAACACACATGCATGCATACACAAATTGGCCTGCAGTAAATATGAGCGACGAGTGATGAGGTCATTTAAAGCATACAGAATCTGCCTGACTCATACTCATCCACAGCATGTATTACTTCAGCATGAATACCAGTTTATTCGCCACAGGCTCAACCAGCCGTACGAGGGGATGGTGTGAGATGTTTTCTGGCCCATGTGGGGTGAGCATGATGCTATGCTCGCTTTATGAAGCATTTTCTCAGTGAGGTTAGACTTGATTCTATAAAACCACTGCTGCATTTTTCCTTGACCTGTATTTAGCGCAAGGGGCTTAATGTGATTTTGCTAAGTAATCAGGTTAGGGCGATTGTTTGAACGTCTGCCCTCTCAGTATCAGATATATTGATTCTTCACTGAGGTTTAGAGAGCCAGTACAGTTGCTCAAAAATTTACATACCCCTTAAAGAATCTGAAAGTTGTTTAGCTTTTTTTTTTTTTTTTAATAAAGAGATTAAATCTTAAAAATAAGATCATAAAACATTTTTAGTACTGCATATTCAGTACTGCTCTTTAGAAAC